ACCCCAAGTCCAAGTCTCAACTTACAGACACCACAAGGGCGTGTACAATGGCAGTACCGTTCTATTCACAAACAATCTCTTTTTTTGACAACTGGCTGAGCTCTGAAATTTACATTTGTCACACAAAAACACAATCCAGAAGCATCGTTTCCCAAGCCACTCACTGTGTCTGCCAAACTAAACTAAGAGCACAGCTCCTGCTTTACAAACAAGCTGCAAATCTTAATCGCTTTGGCAAAATGAAGCAAAATATTTACTCGCTTCGAACAGATGATCCTATGGGATTTGCAGTTTAACAAACTCAAATCTGCTCATTCTGTAACTCTGTTTGTATATTTATTAATACACGTTATTTCACAAAGAGGTTTCAAGATATATTCAGATATTTGATATATGCAGTATATTGTCAATATTATGACAAAATAGGCAACAAAAATACTTCAGATTTAGGTATGTTAATGTAACAGGATTTTTGGACCATTCCCACTGGTGCATTTGTCGTGAAATGTTAAAGGGGACATAATAAAAAGCTCAAATGTGCATTAACTGACGCTATATCTACCATCCGAGAAACCGTGAAGCCATTTTGACGTATATATCCCTTTCTCAAAAAGCATGTGATTAGAATCAAGCATATGCCCAGCCCACACAAATAACCAGGTCCAGTAATCTCAGCCTTCATACTTACACCATCGCAGCTGCCGCTTCAAACACAGATGTCTCAGTTGAACAGGAAAATGTAAAACAGTGATGTAACATCAAATATAACTAATATTTATCCATGTAACTTCAAATATAACTAACAGAGTGTTTATTTAGCAGACACTTTTCCGTTGATGGTAACCGGCTTTTTTCGGGCTAACTAGACCATATTCTGTCCTCACCATACTAACATGCTTTAAAACTATAAAGACGTTTTACTGAAGCAGTCAGCATCCAAACTGTAATAACCAAAATAAAGAATGTTACTTAAATCTTTGTTACGAGCTTCACATGTCTGCTTTTAATCTAGAGAACAGGCAAAAACAAGCAACTTATTAAACAAAGTTACAAAGTTTCTTCATTACACATAGCTGTGTAATGACATCATTGGCTGCCACATGCTTGTGATTTTCTGACTGAATATGGCCTTAAATAAGCGTACACAAGCTGTGACGGTCTTTCTATTCTGTGCTCCCTGCAGTCATAGTTAAGCTCTCCACCACTGCACAATGACTACACCCCTCAACCCACCTCTTCCACTTAAACTGCCAATGAGAGCAGTCATGATTAACATACATAATCAACACCCAGAAAATGACCTTTTCTTCACAGAGGAATAAATTACATATCATACAAAAAAACTGAATTACGGCTTTTTGTTTCATATCCTTCACAGTTGTCATTTAATGAGTGTGCACACAACGATATTTAATTGAAAATAAAAAGAGCAAAACATGTCGCCTTTAACACAATCTAAAGAGCAGCTGGCATTTTCAAATAGTAAATAAAAAAAAACATTTCTGGAGCAATGAGCTTTTGAAACGACAGCAAAGATACAGTAGTGTGTAAAATAACTTTCTTAAAAACAAGAAATTCTGGTTACATTTTACTGATTTCAAGTTTATTTGCATTTATTCTCATGTTATATGGCAAAAAACATACTTGCTGCTGAGATGAATAGTTTTAAACAACTGTCTTGACTGCGTAAGACTTCTGCGCAGCACTGTATATCCAATATGTTATGCTCAATTACATACCCAGTAATATTCATATATAGAGACACCACACTAATTCTAAACAAGTGCTGGTTTAATGAATATTGCGCATAAAGCAACAAAAACAACAAGCTAAATTGGGAAGTTTCCAAGCTTGAGCAGATCCAACATAGTTGATGAGCTGTGATGGGTCTTTTGCATGAAAAATAAAAAAAAAGGCACAGTAGTAGCACTGCAGGAAGCTAAACAGATGTTTAAATAAATGAGGAATGTATAACAAGGTCCGGAATCACACATCCATGGGAAGCACAAGCATCAGCACTCAAGCTGAACCATAACACATGTACACCTGTAATTAGGCCCTTTCAAAGGGGGATCGTCAAACAAACAAAGAAACGGAGGGCGAAACCATGGAGGAGGCTGCCGAGGAGCCTCTTCACGAGCAGCAGACGGAGATGAGGCTCTTAAGAGCAGGGAGAGTAGTTAGCTAATGCAGTCTTGTCCATTAGATTGCATGGGTCAGCCACAACATGGCTCACGTGGTTATTCATGGCCCATACAAGACGCAGCTAAAAGCATGAAAAGTCTCACTGCAATTACCCGGATTCTGAGAAGAGCACAGGCTCTCGGGGCCCAGAGCCTATTAGAGGTCATCAATTTCAGGCAGGTCTATCAGGGATGAGTGATCAGAATAATAGTGATGTTTAGCTCAGAGAACTTTATCACGGATGTCTAGGTAACACCTTGCACGCACAAAGATCTACGGTATATGTATTATACGACACAGTATGCGTATATCGCGGTCATAATAAAACCTACCAAGTATACCTGTAAAAATGCGTAGTTGAATTCTGAATTCAGCACAACACCTATTGTCTAAAATGGCTGTCTGCAGCATTCAGCTACACGCTTACGTTTTGCTCATTTTTTTAGTTCACAGTGACTCATACGGTGTCCTAAACCACACCAACAAGCAGGCACAACACCAATGAAGACATGGATACAGTTTGAGCGGGTTGAGAGGTAATTTGGGGATTTAAAAACAATTGGGGTTTTTGATTTGGGTGACTATTCACTTCTACTGTTTGTTAGCAACATTGGCCCAAGCCCTAAACTAAAGAAGCAAAATTTGCACACCAAACATGTCTTGGCAGATTAATTAGATATGGGGTAAGTGGAAAATTGTGTACATCATTTTTTTTCGCCAAACGATTCTTAACTTTATTGTACATGAATGTATTGTTTTATTCCAATATCCCTATCATATACATTCATTAAGAAATTAAAATTTTTAAAAGGTGTAATGAAACAAACAAGGTTTTTATCCTACAGTAACTACACGCAATTCAGTAAATGCCAAGTTTAAGTACAGTGCCGTGAAAAAGTATTTGCCCCTTCCCAATTTCTTCTATTTTTGCATATTTGTCACACCTGAATGTTTCAGATCATCAAACTACTTTTAATATTAGACAGTCACACCCTAAGTAAAAATAAAATGCTGTTTTAAATGATGACTTCATTTATTGAAAATGCTGTTCAGCCCCACCTGGCCCTATGTAAAATTAATTTAACCCTTAGCAACTAAATCAACTAGTTAACCAAATTCTATTGACTACTGGGTTCAATTTCACAGGCCACACCCAGGCATGATTACTGCCACAACTGTTAAACCTAAACATCACATCAATAGAACCTGTCTGGCAATGGGAAGCAGACTAGAAGGTCTCAAAAAGCAGCACATGATTGCACATTCTAAAAAGATTCAAATGAACGAGATTGAATGATCTGAAACATTTAAGTGTGACAAATTAGCAAAAATAAAAATCAGGGGCAAATACTTTTTCACGGCAATGTAAATTCCCACACAGCAGCATCCTGAAAGAAATTAAGCCAATATTACTGACATGTGCAGAGTGCTCCACAATGTTCAGTGTTTTCGACGTTATAATATAGGATGCTGGTCACTTTCAATAACAGTAACTCTTCACGTGTCAAAAGGTCGCACAAAAAGGCAAGCAAAAAGGCTCTGCTTGCTAGTGCAACAAAAGAGAGGGAAGAAAGAAAGTCAAGTTTTTCATATCAGGTGATCAGGGCAGAATCATTTTGCTACCTAATATGTGCTAAGACTCGATACTTATCCCTTGCTTTATTCGCATGATATCAAAAGCCAGCCTTTTACTTTGATAAAGTTGCTGGGTAGCATCTACAATGAACGCTGTCTTTTTGAGTGTGGTTAAGCAGGCCTCCAGACTGATTAGCAAGATTAGCGAATATCAGTGAACACTTGTCTGTGTTCAAAACCCCTCAATTTAGTAGTCCTCTGCAGAATAGCCTCCAACAGATTTCTCTCCATTATGAAAAATGTTTGAGTGGTTGAAAAACATCATCTTATCTCAAAGCCATTTAAAACAATGAGACTAAACCTTCCTTGCGGAACAGAAGGTGAAAGTGACGCAAACTAGGAAAAAAATGCAGCTAAATCGCCTAAGTGAAACATACTGTAATTATCCAGAGTAGGGCAGAACAGAAAAGTGCTAATTTGAAAAAGCTACTGTATGCGTCAGTGCTCTGCTGAGCATGAGTCTAATCTTAGTGGCAGAGAAACAGTTGTTATCTGTCCTCTAGCGTCTAGCTCAAGAATACCAAGTGAAGTGTTCAGTGCGTTCAGAACAGAGAACTGGAGGATGGTACGCTCTGTCCAAACAACCAATGGAGTGTGAAGAGTGGATATCCAAAGTGGCTGCACTTGAAAGAACTTGGTGCCCTCAAAAAGGCTATTTAAAAGAGGCTTAGGAGATAATTACAGTTTATAATAGACATTTCCTGCATAATCAGATTATCTTCTCGTGTGCACGTTTCATCTGAATTTCAAATGAATGTTTTATAAGATCAAAATATTTGCCTTATAAGAAACTGGCCATAAAAAAAAGCAAGCACAGTATTTAAATGGAGTTTGCTGCTTTGATATTCACTTTGGTGAATACCAGATATTGCTGTTTTCCTCTCTGCATCACAAATGTATACAGCATGTTTCTGCTTTAAGAACCTTAAAACTTTATTTTGTCATTCACCATTTGCCACTTATTTATTTATATAAATCTTTACACTTTATACTGCATTTGGACCAAATACCTCTATTTTTTTCTTTCTCCACATGACACATTTCTGATATACATTTCAGAAGAAGTTTCACCATGTGAACATTCTCGATTTGAGAAGGTGAACCTGTGCATAGGTTTCACACACTTCAAGTGCATGACTGGTGAAAGGTCCTGACAAATTTGTGCCAAAAAAGAACCCTACCTTCTTGCACAGCCTGGAAAGGATTGTTCCCATCGACAAACTCCACTGAGATGGTGATCTTCTCCGTCTCCAGGATTTCATTGTTGAGGTTGAGGTCCGCCACCGCCATGCGGAACACTTCGTCATCCTTTTTGGCAGACTCATCAAATATGGCCCCTGAAAAATGCAATGAAGTGTTGTTAGATTAGGTGAAATAAGACAACAGGTAGAAAGTGCTATTAATATCAGAGCTTTAAACTGACTATTTTATGACAAAGAACCAGCAGAAATGGTCCAAAATTACTCCAAACAAAAGCAACAGGCCAAAATAATGCAACAGTTTAAGTTCGTGTGGTGCAGTGTGCTCTGCTTGAACACATCACCACGTCATTTTCTCTTCCTTAGTACTACTGGTTCTAATCACCACATCGTTCCAAGACCTCCACCTCACTACGACTGGTCCTGATCACTGCCTCATTCATTCTGAGATCTGCCTTCTGACTGTGATTGGTTCTAATTACCACTCTGTCCATTCTGAGACCTGCCTCCTGACTGTGATTGGTTATAATCACCACGTCGTTGGTTCTGAGACCTCCCCGCTGACTGAGATTAGTCCTAATTACTGTGCTATGCATTCTGAGACCCACCCTGGCTATGACTGGTCCTAATCACTCCATTGTTCATTCTGCGACCTCCCCCTGACTGTGATTAGTTCTAATCACCACAAAATACAAAGTTCTTTTTAAGTATATTTATGACAGAGTGCTCAGCAGTATTGTTTAATTGTTTTTTGTTTAGTTTATTATTTTAAGCATATGTCCAGCTTGAGTCTCATAAAATCTAATGTTAACTAATGTTAACTGACCTCTTCTCAGCCCATTACTCAGTGCAATGCAAGCAAACTAACGCTGGGTTAGGGGCAGTTTGAGAAGGTGGCTGGCTTCACATGTCTCAGAGGAAGCACATGCTAGCCTTCACACTTCTAGCATGGTAGCATCGTGTGATAGGTGGAAACCTAACTAGTTGGTGGAACTGGACATGATTAAATTGGAGACTGAAAAAGAAAACATTTCAGAGAAATGAGGTTTGATGGCTTCACTTACACAGACATTTCACTGAACTAAGCAAAGACAAAAGATCAATAGCAACATAATCCTCATTTAAAAGTAATTAAAATGTTTACATGTTTCTTCCTTTGTACTTTGGGTACTTGTATTTCCACTTTTGGAGGACTGGATTTTCTGGCAACAGGTATAATTTAAAGGTCTGCACTCAGACAATTTAGAAATGACAAGATGAAATGTGTGTATACTGTGTAGTCATGATATATGCAGCTGACACAACACATTGAACTTTCACGTAAGAATCTGCATGAGGGGAAAACAATTTATCACCTGCTTGTAAAAGTCTCATTTGGTTTTAGTCTTATAGAAGTAGCAGACTGAAAGATGGTCAAATGTTCAGTCAAATGCAGTAGAATACAATCTGTGAACTCCAGAGAAGGGAAACACACTAATTCTTCACAGATGGTGCACAGCAAACAGAGAAACATTGCTCATCTCTCTTGTTCTGCAAGACGACTGCAAAATGCTTCTTCAACTCCACATCACATTAGCAGTCAGCAGTGAAATCAAACAAATGCCTGTGGTCAGTGGTGAAGTTTCCAAGCACAACCACTGCTCTCGGAGATCCAGGAAAGCTGTCAGAACTTTAACAAGACAAATCTCCCTCCACACTGGCATGAAGACACTTACTTTGTCTCGAATCCTCCGCAAAACATCATAATAGGTCTTTTATCTGCTACTGGAATTGAGTTGCCATAGAAACAAAACTCAAGGTGGAAGCTTCAAAAACGTACTTTAAAGCTTCATATCTCACCCTTGGCAGTGTGAAATGCTATAGAGAAGGAATGGCTCTTGCAGCATATATCTCTTAGGCATCTGTGCCACTGTGCAATTCGAACCCGAACTAAAACGATCAGATTTCAAACATAAGCCGTAATTAAGAGATCTGAAAGCAGAATCTCTTCCGGCTGCCTTGTTTTTCTTTCACTTTGCATGTTTGAAAACTGAGTGAATTTGCATGCTCCACCACCCATCATGCCTGGCGAAAAACGTAAAACAGAGACTGCTATATGACCAAGGCCTTCACAGGAATAGCTTGCTATGGCACTCAATCAGACCCGGAAACCAGTATATATCTACATGCTGGATTTAATTAAGCTTTGAAAAATAGCATGGTGCTTGATTAACGTGTCATTTTGAAAAGGCTCTTGCTGGCAGTAGTACATAAGCTACCACTTTACACTTTGTGGAAACCGCAGCTTTTCAGACTTATCATGGATCGGGAAGAATCAGCATGAGTTATACAGGAGATTTTCAAAGTTAAGAACAGTGGTTCTTAATCCTGGTCCTGGAGTACCACTTTCCTACAAAGTAGAGATCTGCCACCCAACCTAAACCTGAGAGAGCCCAACAAAATATCAAGTTGCAGGCTAAGTTTAAAGGATTATTATGTATATTTTCACACACTCATTATTTTCTCTCTTGTACCCTCTCTCCTTCTAGTAACAGCATTCAGAATGGCTCTGCAGCTTCAGGAGTGGGTGAATGTACCCCTGAATGAAACCAGGGATAAACTTCAACAGTACATCACTCATGACGATGAGAGGGATGTGTTGGTTACGTTCTTGCTTGTTAAGCTCGCCCGATGTGTAATTAACTATTTCTGAAAGTAGCAGCAGTGGCGAGAGGAACTTTAGTGCAGTGAGGCTCATGTAAACAGTTGATCAGATAAGGGTGGATGCTGTTCTCTGCCAGGTACAATCAGCAATTTCACAAATATATACTGATACTAGATACTGTTTACAGGGCACAGATCAGATTTGGATTTCGGTAATGACCTTGCACCCCTCTGCTATAAATTTTAGCACTTACTTTTCTTTAACCAGCCCAGTTCAATTTAAGTGAAACATACTAGTACTTGAAAAGTCGAATCAAGCATGTTAGAGAAGGAAAATTAGCAAAGGATGGGTATACTAGGATCAAGATTGAGAAATACTGGTTTGAATATAACCATAATGAATGTATGATGTGTCATTCAAACTGCAGGAAGGACGGTACCTCAAGAGGGAACCTTTCACACCCTCTGCAGGGGATCTTCCTCTATTGGTCCACACTACCACCCAGTTACCTGCATGTAGTAGTTGCTCTGGTAAAGCCTTTGGGAGGCCAGCTAAATCAAGTAAGAGCAGACAGCATGCTTCATACCCCTGGTGAACAGGGCATTGCGAAGTCAGCGCCAGTGTGCTGGGTGGAGGAGATCTTTTAAAGACCCAATGGTCATACTGGCATACTGACAGTTCTCCAGTGCTCATGGCTAGCAAAGGACATAACTTGGCATAGAAAACAATGCCAGTTGTGATCATGTTAGCACTGGACACCAATTTTAGAGACAGAGAGTGTGGGTTTATCCCTGTGCAATGACTTTTCAACTTTACTATTATTGCTGCACATAACCACTGCATGTAGGCGGCCTGTCGACACTAGTCACTCGACTCAAATTGGGACAACAGAGGAATTCAGCTACATCCCAGGTGATTGAGCAGTCATTTTAGGTAAACTGCTCACTCTCACATGAGAGAGGGGACTAGAAAAGATGTCTCAAACATGGACAACAGACCCAAGACAGTTCCTTTTCCCCACTATGGATGTCTATGCTGTTCCAGAATTGGACTCACCAGCCACGTCAATGTCCACAACAAATGAGTACACAAGTCATGTGCAAGGCACACTTTGGCTGTTTTCTCAGTCCCAGATTAAGCCTAAGCCAACAACTAAAGAGAATTCTGAATGGCACAGCAATTCAGTCAAAGACCAGGTTTAATCTATGTCCAAAAAGACCTATATGTCCAAAATTAACCAGATACCTTCTTGTACATTTCTTACAAAATCAATAGAATTAATACAGAACAGTACTGATGACCACTTTAATTAATAGTTGACCCTGCATCGAGAGCTTCTACTTTCCTGGGAAGGATTTCCACTAGATGTTGGACTGTCTCGACAATGCTGGAATTTGAGTCCCCTCAACCATGACAGCATTAGTGAGGTCAGGTGCTGATGTTGGCCGATTAGGTCTGGTCCGGTGGCGCCTCACCACTCCAAAGAACATGATTCCACTGCTCCACAGTCCAATGCTGAAAAGCTTTTTTACTCCTTGGGCTGATGCCTGGCACTAGACATGGTGATCTTAGGTTTGTGTGCAACTCCTCAAGAGCATCCCATTCTACTGCCAGTGCTTTTCTGTGGAGATTACACAGTTGTGTGCACACAATTGAACACCTGTGCCAGCAATTGGGGTTTCTTAAAAAGTCACTAATTAGTAGGGGTGTCTGGAAGCTTCTGGGTATAAATGATAAATTGCTTATTGAACTTTAAATATATACCTCAGGTTGCTAGCAACTTGTGACAACTTAACAGTTAACCGAGTAGTACTCGACTACTCGGTTAACTGTATGAGGTGCCAGTATTTGAATACTGAAATCACTGTTTGGACAGGGAAGACAGAGAAAACATACAAACTAACAATTCTGTCAGGAGAGTAAAATATGGCAAGTTTGCTTGTACTTGTGAGTAAGTAAGTGTATTATATTACACATTGCTACAATAAAACGCAAGTACTTTAATGTGAGCATGCTGCCAAGTATGTGTTGTTAGGGACGCGAATGAAAAAGCCGAGACAACAAGGCCTAGAATGATCACCCTACTTCTCCTATATCCAATCCGATTCGAACACAATTTAAATTGTTCTGCAGTTTTACGTTGTCACTGCAATTTCGTATGTGTTAGACATCAATTCCAATTCCAGAAAATTACACTAAATATAACCAAATATAATATTTTTTCCACACCTCCAAAGTTCAGTCTTAGAAGTTGGTTGCATTGTCCACTGCTCATGATCGAAGTAATTCCAAACATGTGATATTGAGGTCTGGACTCTGGGGTGACCAGTCCATTGTACTGAGAAAAAACAGGCAGCTTCTTTGTTTGATTTGCAAATGTTCTTTTTTCTTGTTTCCTTTTCTCATTAACAGCTTCTTGACAGCTACACATCAGATCCTTCAGATCTGAAGCAAGTGTGGAGCTTGATTTTTGTTCTCTCTCTCAAATATATAA